GCAGCAGCTCTGGCCCCCATTAGTCCTCCCTTTTTTGGTATGAGTGTAGCTGTATTGTGCGTCTATTTAAAAAAAACAAATGAACTTGCACACACATAAAACTTAGAGCATTCACTGTGTTGCACAAACATAATGCCTTGTGCTCAGTGACTGCCAGCACCAATAGTCTAGATAATTTTGCATGTGCCAGGTGGGTGAGAGAGTCACCTTGTAGACCTCCTCCCAAGCACATTCATATGATGCAGCCAGAATCTAGTCCTAAATTAGAATCAGGTTTGTTTTGTTTCTGTTTCAGGAAGGATTATAGTCAGTCGTGGGGGATCTAAACAGCATAGAAGGGAGTGAACAAGCTGGCGTGTGATCTTGAATTCAAAGAGTCTCCCTTACTACTGTAACAGGTAACAGCAGTAGAGCAGCACAGAAATGCTATCATCAGATTGCAATTACATTTGAACTGTTCACTACAGTACAAATGTCTTGTCATTTTTACTAATTAATATAACGAAAGCAATGAAAAATGCATTCCAGTGAAGCAGTGTGAAAAGAAAGGGATGAAGACGGGAGGATTTAGAGTCCCTTTGTATCCCCATTGGAAGGAATATAAACATTTAGCTTAGTATACAATAGTGTTGGGCCGGGGGAGGTGATGGGGCTCACAGAGACTATTGTATTTTGAGGCTAAACAAAAGACCATCAGATTTGTTTCTGTTGTGTCCCTGTCTCAGTTTCAAATCCAAATCCCTAGAGGCTCATAGTTCTCTGCAAAAACCATTAGTAACTTGGCGAGGGAAGGACTTTTAAACATTCCTGGTAAAGATTTCTGGGACTCCTCATCTGAATTTTATTTTAACAAGAAAAAAAAACTTCAAATTAAAACACTTGCTTCACTGATGTTTCTATCACTTTTTCCCCCCACACAGATATTCAGACATGTACATGTTTGCTCACCAAATATTTGCAGAGAATAAAAATCTTGTGACTACTTGGCAACTATGTATTCACTCACAGGTGCAAACCCAGAGTGTCTTGATAAGCAGAAGAAGGGCTTGAACAAAATTTCAGTTATTCAACCAAGGAGCATGAACGATACCAGGAGGAGACTAATCACACAGTGAGTACTCTAATGTACAGTCACAATCAACAGTTTGCAGGCTTATTGACAGGCTGAAAGTTATCAATATTAAGGCCAGAAGGGACCCTCATGGCCATCTAGTCTGACCTCCAGATGTGTTCACATATAACCATTCACAGAATAATTTGGAATAATGAACTTTTTTTTAAATCATTCAATTTGTGAGTAATTCACAAACAGAAAAAAAGGGCAAACAAACACACACACACACACACACAACTTATGCAGTTCCCTCTCAAGAGCACCAGGAAGCTTTACAAAGTCCTTTATAGTTCAAAGCAGCCTTCTAAAAACAATGACAGCAGAAAACTTACTAATTGGAATCACACATTAGTTACTGAATGTACAGGACCAGATCTTAAGCCCCCATTCCATCTCTTTTGAGCTGCTCCAGCAACACACAGCAAGTGGAAAGCCAGCTTAATATGCCAGTAGGGGATTCGCTCAGAGCAGAGGAATCCCTGGACAGTGTAGAACTGGCAGAAATGACTCTGTCATGCTCCTTCACAGGCCCTGCGTAGGGGGAGTGTCTGGAATGCAGCCAGGGGAGGGTGAGTGGCTGGACCACTGCTGTGGCCCAGAGATCCCCAGCGGGCAGAAAGGCCAGTTGGGGGCAGTTACTAATCAGCATGATTTAGAATAGACTTGAGGCCCTGAGAGCTGAACTGGCCCCCACCAAGATTGTCATGGGTGGAAATGCACCCCACAATAGTCCCCAGGCGAAAAGCGAGGCAGGAAAGCATGTTCTCAAAAGGAATGAGAAATACTTGTTGAGAGTGGAATCCCCTTAAGGAACAATTTCCAAAACCAGGAAGAATTTCCGGGTTTGCCAGCTGAAGCTTGCAGTAGGGACCATTTCCACCAACCTGGAGAAGCAATAGCAGAGGGTTTGGGTGGGGTTTTAACAGGTAGACCTAGGAATACACTGTAGTTATGGGATAAACAGGTAATTAGGAAACGAGTGGCATGCTCACAAATAACAAAGCTGAGGAGCCACACAAAAGAGCAGGCAAAGGAAAGGATTTTGCCCTGTGAAAAGTGTTTTATCTGGAAAAGGATTGAAAAAATTAAATAATTTACCTGACTTTATTTATGCTCGTGAGAGGCAGGAGTATGATATAATATGGACTAAAGTTTGCAGGTGTACAAGGCAGAAAATATGGCAACAACCAAAAAACCAGCCTAATAGCCAAAGCGCATGCGGTGCAGGCAGCCCGAGCGAATTTCACCCTGGCACAATTAACTATGCTAGTGGATACATCCTGCCAATGAGAACAGATGTGTGCCATTCCCACAAAGGGTGTGTGTTTCCAGGACCATGGGCAGGGCTGGGACAAAATTATTATTAATTTACTCACTCAACAGTGATGCCTAAAGGCCCCAATCATGATCCAACAAGTGTGTATGCTGCCATCCCTAACAAGATCAAGCTGGTAGCAATTACTATGAGCAGGCTGCTCCTGAAAAAAGGAGCAGCAAACAGCATTGCACAAATTGTGTCATGGATGATATTGTAACATGCAATAGAAGGAACTCCCTGGCACCATAAATGTTTTACAGTGCAACTCACCATGCAATGCTATCCAGCTTTCCCCCTCAACCATTATAACAGGATTTGCCTCTGTATAATTTAGTATAGACCAACATTAAAAAAAGAATGAATAACGTGATGGAGCAAAATTGCTTACGTTTTATAAAATTGAGTGCAATTTTTTAGCTAATTATGTTCAGTTAATTTTTCAAGTCCTCAGAAAATGACTTTGCAAAGTGTTGAGGCCTCAAAAGAGTTTTTCCAGCACAATGTTTTCATCTTCCAAAATTTTGTGTTTTCAAAATGCTCATGGAGAAGTGCCTCAACAGAAAGCTTGGGCAACTTCAGCTTGTGGAGAGAAGACACGGAGGGACAGAGCACAACAGTCACACACTCACTGACAATCAGAGCAGGTCAAAACTTTTTGCATGAAAAATTTATTTGTCAAAAAATAGCCACTCTTCTCAAACAAAACATTTTCAAAAAGAGTTGAAGTTACTGAATTTGTTTTTTACAGTTTTTTTCTACCACACTTCTAAAAAAAAATCAAAATAATTTTTAAATCATTATCAAAATTTTTCATTTACCAGAAACCTAGTTTTCAGTAAAAAGAAAAATCTCCTGGATTTTGGTAAATTGAACATGTTGATCATGATTTTGTTAGAAAGTTTGATTAAATATTGTTTAAAAATGGTTAAAATATCATGAAAAGTTTAGTAAAAAATGGGAAATGGGTCCATTTTAAACCCTGCAAAATAGATACTTCAAAATGTTGAAATTTTTCTGAAATCATTTTCCTGTTTTTTGAACAGCTGTATTTGGAATGTTACATGCCCACACAAAATCTTTGTTAATTTTTACACATGCTTTTTAAGGGAGCCAACTCTTTGGTACCTAAACGTAAGACTTCCAAAAACATACAAGTACAGAAGTTTGGAAATTTCTAGTCAAGGTTGTCTACCTAGAGGTAAAATCCTGGCCCCACTAAAGTCAATGGCAAAACTCCCAGAGACTTCCATTTTGTCTGCATTTCACCCTTGATTCCCATTCAGTTACAGTTTCAACAATTAAAAATATGATGCCTACAAAATCAAAGTGCAGCCATTTACACTGGTCAGAGTCAGTCACAGTGGACTTGTAATACTACCAATTCACAATGGAGATGTTTTACATCCACTTTGCACAGCTGTACATGAGTCACAAGGCAGTGAAGAATCCTTCCTACTCCTTAACAGCCTTAAGACTCCATAATAACCCCAACATAAATGTACCCCAACATAAATCAGGTCTTGGGGCCTGATTCTCCACATGATTATATCAGTTTTACACCAGTGCTACGGTACTGAAATCAGTGGAGGTACAGTCAGGTGAAACTGATGTAATCGAATGGAGAATCAGACCCATTGCCTCTTTTGAGATGCTAACAGGGTCTTTAGACTGAGCAGAAATTGCCAGTATAAAGTATCTTGGGCCAAATTCAGAAGTCTTCACTTAGTCCAGTACTCAAAACTTTTCTCTCCTTTTTATCTGAAGGCCTGATCAAGTATTTCAGGATTTGGTGTAGTTTGTATGTGGGTTGTGTACCAGGGGCAAAGATTCTCTGAAGAAATCACAGCCACTGAGTTGTGATTTACTTGCAGTCAAAACGGATCCAGCTTTTCTTCTGTTTAAACTTCATTATCTTTTTCAAACTCTATCTCATGTCCTTTTATAAGCTGAATTTAGTTAAGATATCTATTGTGCTAGGGAATATTTAAAGTAAAAATACATGTTAGCACTGTTGAAGAGCTATATACTTTCTGACAGCACTCTTTACCCTCTCTTCACTCAAGCCAATCAGTGGGAATTTTGCCTGATTGAACATAGATAAGAACGCTGAAGCAAGCCAAACATTTGCAAGCAAGACTGATGGCTTCCCCTAAACAAAGGGTACTCCGCCATCTAGTGGCAAAGATGTTTCAACATTAACAAAACTTGCTTTACAAAAATCAAATTGAAACCTTTGCACATATGACTCATTATTGTGGTTCATTTCTCAAAGCTAATTATGGTGAAGCAGCAATATTATACTGGCGATGGACACAGTATAAAAACCTAGTGAAATGGAATATAAATAGGTAGCCTTGCTGACAGCACAAGGTGGAAACAGGAATCACACAGCAAGAAAACTGCTACATGCATTGGATTGAGATGCGTTGCCAATTTTTATCTATGAGTCCATAGCCCACATTAATTTTCTGGCCACAGTCATGTCTCTTGTAGTGTGGTGCCAGGCTGTCCCAATGAGAGGATCATGTACCACATCTTCAGAGAACCAAGGACTAGCCATTTTGTTTTTCACATAAACGTTCCCCTTCCATCATTTACTTTAAAAGAAGCAGACCATATGCCCAATGATAACAGAATTTAATTTAGAAGCAAATAAGTAGAACTAAAGGAGAAACCATGGTATCTAAGAATGATCAAACAAAATGAAGGGATAATCAACAACAAACCACCTGGTCTAGGTTTTCAATACACTATGAATTGCGAGTGATCATTTAAAGGCACAAGGCATGTTTGTTTGGCCAGTTTGGGAGTGATTTTATATTACGGATTGGAGATTCTGTTACATTCTGTTAAAGCCTGATCCTGTTGACTTCAGTGGGAAATGAAGGTGCTCAGGACCTTGCAGGATCAGGCCTTTGTTTTGTCATTTATCATTTTTAATTGGTGTAAGGCACCAAGAGGGCCTGATTTTCTGCTCCATTACACTAGTTTTACAGTGGTGCCACTCCACTGAAAACACCGGGGTTGCACTAGCATAAAACCAATGGAACAGAGTGGAGAGTCAGATCCAGTTATTTTTTATGTAACACACCCCCTTTTTTCTATCTTAAGAAGATTCAAACTGCTCCTTTCACACAATTGTAGTTTGAAAGCAAAAAAAGTGACTGAAAAAAATCCATTATTTCCCTGCTTTCTCAACACCTTTGGTCATTTCATGTGGCCTCACAGACACTGAAATGCAATGTGTTCATGCCACGGACACATGCCGTGGCAGGCAATGTGAAAAGCTGAGTATTAAGGAAACATCCCTATGAAATAAAAACTTGTCTACAACAACTTCATGATCATAAATGAAGGGAACAAAAGAAACTCATTCTTACCGGCTCTCAACTGCTGCTTGAAACTCCTGCTGACTAATGACCTCTCTCTCCAACCTGTCAATTTTTCTGAGAAATACAGAAAAAGGGATCAGATCCCATGACGTTCAGAAAACATATTATCCTGCATATTGAAAACAAGTGAGCCCTAGATTAGTGAAAGGACACAGCTAGAAGATCATTTTGGCCCACATTTCATGACTCAGATAGACGGCCCAATACCATTCCAAGGTTTCTTCTATGTCATCTACCTTGTGCGATAAGGGGCAAACCTTGCCTCAAGTGTACAAGGAGTCCATCTTTCCGGGGGTTCCTTTATGCACAGCTGCTACACAGAGAGGAGCAGACAGTGGGTTGGCCGGCAAGTGAAAAGAACCAGCGAATTTGCTGATTCCTGAATCCATTGGTCAGGGAGGATGCAGGCACCAGGAAGACTACTCCCCATGTGAGGCTGTATGGGAGAATTACTATTTCCTTTGCCCCTCAGCTCTCAAGGAATTCCCCAATGCATAGTCAGACTGCTGGAGACAGGATTTAGGGCAATGACTACTTTTCATGTATAGTTGAGGTAGTCAGTTATTTTTTGTCAAGGTCCAAATTTCATGGTCAAGGTATAGTCAAGGGTCAGACTCCACAGAAAAAAACCCCCAACAATAATGATAATAATAAGTAAATAAAAATATTTTGGGGTTCAAAAGCGTCTGGCTATCTGGATTTGGCCCACAGAATGTCCATTGATTACCCGAGTATATGGCATATCAGTTGAAAACCTTCAATGACTTGCATCTTAACAAAACGCACTGACTGAACACACCAGTGAATCATTTAAAAGGCGCACTGTCAAGAGTTACAGGCTAAACTGTGATTTTAACGGTCTGTCTATGACTGAAAAAAAATCCATCAGCTCCCTCAAAGCTCAAGGGCTGTAACACAGAGAGTTCCAGTTTCTAGCTGAGCTTCTGCAGCAATAAATGCAGGGCCTGGGATCTATTTGTAACTGTGGGCAAATCCCGAGGGACACCACAGCCTCACACAGCTAAGGAGAGAGTGGGCACAGTTGGCTTTTCAGCACCTTCCTTGACCCTAGGGGCCACCAGCACAAGTTCTAGCAGCCTGAGGGAGTAATGGGGAAAGCTCTTCAGAACACAGAGCACTCCAGCCACACACCTTACAGCAGGGGTGCCAGGAGTCGGTGATGCATAGCCAGCTACCCCAGTTCTACCTCCATAAGGAGCATCCGCAACTGGCAATTTAAGCCACCTTTCTGTCATCTTTACCCTGCAGGAACAGGCAAAGGTGACAAAGCAGGGCTGAGGATCTGGCACTTCAGTTTTGCCTGCTCTCATGGGGACTGAGGGCACTCTGCACTTTGCAGGGTCAGGCCCCTCTGGAGCAACTCTCACTACGAGGCAGAAAGGTCCACCAGGGGCCCGCAAATGCCTAAAATATATGTTTTAATTAAATAAACTAAGAGTGGTCATTTCTTCACAATCACTCACACTTCTCTGAAAAGGAGGTCGGTGATGATGCCACCTTCTCAATAATATAGAGGCTAGCAAGGGGTCATTGGCTTTTAATGAGATCTTGATTAGCATCTGGAACCATTGCTAAGGCTCCAGGCCTGCAAAGGGATCTGATCTGTACAGAACCTCACTGAATAGTCCAACTGATATCAACCTATTCAACAACAATGGAACTCTGCAGGGGGATCCACACAGTTGCACCCCAATGCAGGATCAGGGCCTAAAACATTGTCTCCTGTAAAAACTCCTTTTCTTTCATTCTAAATTTGTATTTCCAGTGTTCGTGGATTCTCTCTATTTTAGCATCTTCAACAGTTCTATCTCACAATCTGTCAAACATAACAAGAAACAATTTGATCAGACACTTACTGGAACGTGGCCAAGAGTGAAAGGAAATCAGATTGAAACAAATTTGCCAACTTTGCTTCAATTGCAGTCAGAGTGGAAGCTGGGCTGATGCTCCCTTCACGATGAAATCTACAAAGGATGCAATTTAAAAGCAAGGATTAATACAGATATCACACATACCTTCTCTATTCTATTGATATTCTTGTGCTGCAGCTAGAGTTGGTCAAGAGATTTCTGACAGAACAGCGTTCCACGCAAAAATCCAGATTCAATGGAATTAAAATGTTTTCTGGCTAGCCGGCTCCCAGCTCTGGAAGGCACCGAGAGAGAATAAACATGGAACAACACAGTGCCATAACTACAGTACCTTCCAAAGTATAACCATGCTTTTGAAAATAATGTACTAGCCCACACCTCTCCACACACGTTATGGCTAGACGGTTTGGTCTGTGCTATTGTTCAGAAACTGGCTGCAGTTATGAATCACTACAAACACACCCTTGGTGTGCTTTATAATAACTCCATTCAACAGCTTACAGGCTACTATTACTAGGATACCATCAGCGACAGACCACCGATGGATGGTCTGTTGGAATGTTATTTCTAGATGTTGGTTGGAGAAGTAGAAGATAAGATAATCCTCTGTGCTCAGGCACTCCTGCACACCCCACGGGTTCTGTAAATCATGCTAACATAGAGCTTTTAGTGACATCAAAAGCCTCTGCGTCCTGGTCAGGATGACTGAGGAACAGAAAGCAAGACAACAATTACAAAAGTTATACGTGACAATCATGTTTTAAGAGAAAAATATTAAGGCCAAATCCTTGCCTTACTATTATGATGTGCATTCTTAGGTAGGTGAGTGATGATGGCTAAGCAAAGAGCCCTGAAGTCATTATGCTAAAGCAGAGCAAAATGGGATTAGTACAATGGGCTTAAGCCAAACCCCACTGACATCAGAGAGAGTTTTTCCATTTACTTCCATGGGCTTTGGATCAGCCCAGGGTGCTCAGCTATGCCCCCTACTGCTGTTCCAAAGCAGAGTCATGTGCACTTCTCTCAATGCCCGCTGACAAGGTGTGCGCCTGTGCAAGGGCTCACGCTCCATGCCAGGCTCCCGTTCTAGTAGACCACACCACTTTAGGGCTATGGAGTGCCTCCAGATATGCCAGCCAACTCCTTCAACTGCTCATGGAGATACTTGGTGGCTTCTGTCCTGCTTCTACACAGGTGAGAATAGGGTTACCAGTCCTCTTCCCCCACCCAGTGCACCAACACAACAAGACACATCAGAATTTTGCTCTGAGCAACAGAACAGGACAGTGCCTTTCTAAGAATTTATACAAACTTCAGATGAATCTGATGCAAGGACCAAAGGCCCAAGTGTTCGTAACCAATGAGAAGAGTAATAGTTCCACATGATGAAAAAATACAGAATAAAATCTGAATTAACTATGGTAGCTCCTTCCTATGGGTCTCCAACACACCTTGTCTTACTTGTTTATATTTTAGCTTGTAACATTTCTGGGCCACAGGCTGTCTTGCACAGCATCAAGCATATTATTGGTGCTTAGCAAATAAGGAACAACAGTAATGACAGCATTGGCCACATTATTTTGTTGTAAATACAAAATGACATTGAAGACCTTTAAAAAGATGAAGATTTGAAAAGAAAAATGGTATTATCTATTTCTGAAAAATAAACATCATTTCAATGGATTAAGTATTTCATTAAATAGGATCGTGAAATAATTCATTTACTCCTGGACTGTTACTTTTCTGTTCACATTTTGTTAATAATGTTCAGCTGAATTTTGTGACAGTCTTTAAAGTTCTTCTGGTACTGAAACTCCCACAGCAGAGGGCAGGAGAATAGCACAGAGGAAGCATGGCTCAGACTGAAAAGGGAGTCTCTCCAAAGACAAAATGGATAGTTTTACTGTTTGTTAACAGGGTTATTTCAGGTTACTTATCTTGTCATGGAGGCAGATTCAGTCTTTAGAGGCCCTATCTAGTAGTAGTTATCTCCAGCTTTCCAAGTCATGCAAACTGCAGAAGGCCATGGCTTATGGCTCTGTACCAAGCCACTTATTCAGGGGGAAAGTCATCCTGCTTCAGAAGGCTAATGTTAAAATAAACTTGTGCTTTCTTGTGAACTGTTCTGGGGAAAATGAGCCGAAGCAAAATTGCACATCTCCCACTGTGGTACAATATTCCCTAATGGTCTATATTCCACCACCCCTACTCAGAATGGGAACCAGGCAGCACATGAAAATTTCTACAGGCCAAGGTTCAGAATAATCTCTAGCCCTCAGTGGTGCCCAAGATGAGGAACGTGCATTGTCCTGATTTAAGGGACGTTTTTTTTTTAAACACAAATCAACAAAAACCTTTGCATTGAGGAGACCTTTCCCACTTACCAGAAGGGAAAGGTTCTCTTTTGGGGATGTGGAGGGAGAGGGGAGCCCTGCCCTAATTCCATCTGCCATTTTCCCAGAAGCGTTGTAGGGGGAAAGGGTACAGTGTAGGCTTGATGAGCCCTACTGGATGACAGAAACAACGTTGTCGGCCAGAAATGCAACATATTAGACTTTAACTCTTTCCTGGTTGTATTGTTAGTCAGGCAAGAAAGCCTCCACTTCACAAAGCACCCCATGAAAATTAGGTGCAGCCTCCACAGATGCAGAGCATAGGAGGCCTATGGAAGTCACAGAGGCGGCTTTCAACTGGATAAGGGCCGTTGGATTGTATTATCACTTCTCTCTCTGGTTTGAGTCACTGGGCTTAATTCTACCTTGTGAAAATGGGTGCAGCTCTACCAAAGCCATATAATCAGAGAAAGCAATGATAAATAAGCGACGACTTCATACGAACTTATGCTTGGAATTAGAGAGAATTTTGTGTGTGATCCCTCTGTCACTACGATCCTGGAAGTTCCTTAAAAGATCCAAATAATTGATCCCAGTTTGGCTGTTTTCAAGACCACATCTTGCCAGGAAAAGGTTAAAATGCTCCTTTTTGAGATGCATGTCAAATTTTTGTAGGATTGACAAGAAGGATTCTTTTCCCACCTTACCAAAAAAAAAAAGTGAATCAGACTTCACTTTATTTAAATAAAACTTTAATATGCAGAATGTCACTGATGAGCTTTCTCATTACGTATTCTGTTGCATGATCACTGTATTTATTCGGTGTTCAAGGGCCACATTCAGCCACCTTACTCGTAATGGGCAAAAATCCCAACTCCACGGCAGTCAATGGCAACGTTCGTATTGGCTTCGGTGGAGCCAGGGTTCCATTCAATGAACAGAACTTTACTCTACGAGCAGTCCCATTGATAGGAGTTCTCCCCTCCACTGTGGCTCTTTTATCCTGCTGTGGATCAAGCCAAGGAAGAATTCCCCCTGGAGCAGGCTTAGCTTAAGGCCTATCTGCAAGCCCCAGCATTGGTGGCATGTCAGGAATGCATTGAGTAACCATTATTTAATAAATCTTCATATAGTTTATTATAGGTCTGGCTACAAGCATTGTCTTTGGTGTAAGATCTAAGGGAAAATTGACCTGGGGTAAGTGACTGGTCCTTTGTGATGAGCAATAACCTGAATCTTGTTGTGATTTTTGGTCTTAAAGGCCATCTACCACAGAGATGTGCTCCCATGGGTGGCAAGATAAGCCAGAATGTCTGAGGGGACTGTCTGGGACCCCGTTTAAGGCTGTTAATGTGCCTGATCAGTTTGCACTTGGTGCAGTTGATTGGTGAAATCTAAGTTCAGAATTGACAACCAATTTGGAGTTTGTGCCCTAGTTTTTAAAAGTCTGCCCTGAGTTGATACTTATACTCTTGGGCCACCATTGGGAACTTAATACAAAGTGTCAATCTATAGAAAGAGATTGCAAACACTTTGGGCTTGTTTGTTTGGTCCTCTCCTTTATACATAATCAGTCTTGCTAAACTGCTTGCCTTGGTCCTGATTTTCTAAATTTTTGGAATAAACACTTGCTACTCAAATTGTTAGTGCCTATTAATATAAAAGGGACCATTTTCTTATTAGAAGCATCACATCCACCAAAGCTATGGATATAAACAATATTAATGGATACATTTTCCAGTAATTCAGCAACAAATGTGGAGATCACTGCTATACTGGTAAACACAAAGGACCAAATAATGCTCTTCTCACTTATCTAAGTAACCCTACTGAGTAATACCAACTGGCTGGTTAGTGTATTGGGGTTTGGATTCAAAAATCCTTGCTTCACATCTCATTACAGCCCACACAATACCTCCAGATCATTTGCTGTGGGCGCTTCCCCATTTAGAACAGATTCACAGACTAAAAAGCATTTTACCTTGCCTGTTTTTTGTGGGTCATGTTTTTCAAATTCTTCTTTCATGTTTCTAAATCCTTCTCTGAATTTATCTTTCAGCCACCTTTCTATGTCAAGTGAAGCTCTGCGTTCCCACTCTGCTTTCGAGATTTCTCTGCTTTGTCCTTCAGTTGTGATATAGAAAGAAAAGTTTAAAAATTATTTAATATAAACAAAAAGAAGACAGGTAATATGGTGTGAAAAATAATACGACTCTAATGCACTGAAACTGTATAGTACTGAAGGAGTCAAAGGATGGGAAGACAGCTGTAATTCTCCGTGATCTAGTTACTGATAAGCCCTAACAGTGGTGAAACAGCCATCTTTCTTCAATCAGTGATGCCTCCTGTTAGTTAGAGCACAGCCCAAGACTCCTTCAGGTTTTCCAGGTACTTTTTTTTAATCCAATTAAACTCAAAGACATCACTTCTCTGCACCTTGTACAACTCCTTTGTTGCTTTCTTTGCAAAGTATTTCTTGGGTGTAAATTTAACCAGGATCAAATTTGCAAATGACACTAAATTTTGAGGGGTAACAAACACACAGGAGGACAGAACTAAACTGCAAAGTGAGATGGAAAATGGGGGCTGCAGGGAACAAGCAGAGATCCACATCTACAGTGAAATAAGCAACAAAGATACAAGGTGAAGAGAAATAACCATGCAGCTGCGTTGGTTGCATTTAAGTGAAGTTATTTTCATCTGGTCTCCAGTAGAGTGAAGATGAGGAATCATAACCAGACAGTTAGGAGGGGAGGTGTCCCATAAAAGGATCTCAAGAAGTGGTGTACAGAATAAAAAAGTTTGATGACACCTGTTCTAAAGTGCAAGCCAGCATCAATCCAAGCTTCTCCACACTGTACCACCAATGTGCTTTAACCCTGACTTCGAGGGATCACCCTGAGATGTAAGAGAACAATTCCTCCTCCACAGCCATTCAGTCTCTGCTCATTGGGGAATTCAAGGCAGATCCTTCAGACACCAAGCCACACATTTGTATGCATCTCTGAAACTGAACGCAGAGAGCATTAGGCTCCCCATGTCTACCCTTAAGCTAGAAGGCTGGACCCTATGATAGAGACTTACATTATAGGTACTCTCACTGCAGGTCTGTTTGCTGTATTTGCTAATGTATGTGTTACTTGATCAACTGTCAGACCTGTTCATGATTATATTGCCCTTTTGTGAGTGTTGTATAAAGAGAATAAAAGCCTTACATATATTTGTAACAAAGGTTTTTCTTTAACTCAAGTAGTAGATGCTTATGTTTTTGGAACCAAAAGTCCTTGATGATTCTATCCCTGATGTTGCAGACAGGTAATTGAGCAGGTAACCATGGTGTCTGTGCATAGGTAACATTATATAGTGCAGGATATTTAAGTAAACATTGACACAAAGAAGAAAAACTCCCAGAACCTAGGAAAGGCAACCAGCATAATCAATTATAAGCATTCTATAGACAATACTTGGAGGATCTAAATTACTTGTTCAGTGCTTAGATGTTATTCTGATAAGTACTATAGAAAAACCTCAGATAGAGAGAGTGGTGGAGAATGGTATCAGTAAACAACAAATACGGTGGAAGATTTGTGATGTGGATACCTAGTCCAATAATAACTGAACTAAAACCATGAAATTCATTTCACAGAGGCTACCAGACAGCCAACAGACAGAGAGTAACTATTTTAAGACTTGACTACTTCTGAGCCAGTTGTCTAGAGGTGTATCCATAACCAATCCCACAAGTGATTCACTTTCCATGATCTTTTTTTCTGATTGTCAGGAAGGTTACTGAAAGCTATGGATTCAATTAACCAATATTTATTTATTTTTTACCAGAAACTTTAGCATTGTTTGAAGATCCATTTTGGAGCTCAGCTCCTAGTTTTTTAAGTAGTATATCTTCTTTCAGAACTCCTGTTCCTTCTGTGTCATACCTGCAAAGAGCAAGAGGAGAAAGTCATTATCAGATTTAGCTTCCTTTCTTAGAGAATAGTTCATGCTTCCTCTGCATTTGTCACCTTCCTGTGAACATCAAGCACTGACAAAACGTCAGCAGAGTCAACCCAATGGACCAGGTTTTTTCAACAAACCAAAATTGAACAATAGAGAGACAACACTCCCAGCTGTCCCCATAATATTAGATAAAATAGAGGCAATGGTACCTAGTGGTAAGCACATTAGCCTTCTATTGTAATAGATAAAAGAATAAAATCAATAGGCCAAATCCTGAGTCCTCAACTGACCCCCATTCCTCTGCTTCCACTGACAGCATGGAGCAGTAGATGGGCTCTGCACCTCGTGTTCAGGAGTCATGATCTGACTTAATATTATATACTCCCAATTATCTGAAACCCTATCCAAACCTCTGCATTATCACTCACTCCCATGACAGCAAGGCTGCAAAGGGACCCCGATGTGGTGACAGGGCCAGTGACACCCGATCCTGGCAAGCACCAGGGGCAGGGAAGGCTGCAGTCCTGGCAGAGCAAAGCAGAGTCCTCGGCAGAGAGGGCAGCACAGGAAGCCCTTGGCAGCCCTGCTGTCACGGGAGTGAGTGAGTGGGTCCACGACTGCAGAGGGCTCCCTGCACTGCCCTTTCGATTATCCAAACTCCCAATTATCCAAACAAAATCTGTGTTCCCCAGGCTATTTGGATAATTGGGAGCATGCTGTTATAATAATACGTGCACTTACATACCCCTTTCATCTAAGGATCTCATAGCACTTTACAAACACTGATAATTCTATAAATCAGGTTTATAATGGAAATTACAGTATGAATGATCCTTCCTTGCAGCAGACCTGCTGTTATAACTATAGTGAACTATTGAAAATTCATGTGACCAGTATTTCTATGGAAAGCATCATCACGCTGCTTTGCGCCAGTTAAGAAGCTTTGGTGTTTGCCTATTGGATGCACTAACTGGTTACCACATATTGGAGCAGACCCTGTTCTGCAGCTACTTTGTGTGTGGAACTCCCATTGGCTTCACTTAGAGTTCTGTATGCAGAGCAGCTGCAGATTAGGGCCCACAAGTGGTCAGTGGAGTCCTCTACCCTGTGCCTGGTCTAAGCATCTTCCCTGTGGCTAATATGACAGATGAAAGTGGCTATTTGTATATCTTACACTATCCAGGTTCTCTCCATTTACCTTTTCCTCCCTTTATCTGGCCCCACACCAGCATCACACACACATACCCTCACAAGTCTACCACTAACACCAGAGGGGTGCTCTTTATTTTTTTAAATGCGAATGAGAATATTATCTAAAACTTGAATCAGATATTACCTTCTCCAAAGCTTTTCAAACTCCTCATTTCCAATGTGAAAACCTAGTTTGTTAAGTATGTTCTTAAACTCAGGCATCAGAATCCTGATGTCATCACCTGGGTTCTTCTGGGGCATCAGATCAGCAATATCCAGGGACCTATTTCCAACAGAAGACAATATGATCCTTGCCTTATGAAACTTACCCTATGCCTGCTACACAGAAATTCCTCATTCTCTTACAAAGACAGAATTATTACATTAAAAGAAAAAAATCAATCCTGCTATGTACTTGGGGGTTTCTCTACAATTGCGTTATCCCTTAGCAGTGGAAAAGAATCAAGAAGGTAGGTTTGGTTTGGGTTTTTTTTATATGGCCCACTTTGTAAAAGGATGCTTCCCCCTTCCTCCTGATCCCATTCTATAGACTTGGATGCTGCCAGAGTCAAGCCTGATAAATCCTGAACCTTTTACCAATGAGAACATTTAACATTAGACGCAACACATCAAGGGATGTGGTAAATTCTCCATCACTTGGAATCTTTAAATCAAGATCAGGTGGCTTTCTAAAAGATATACTCTAGTTCAGCCACAAATGATTGGGTTTAATCACTGGGGGAAGTTTCTGGGATCAGTGTTACACAGGAGGCCAGACTAGATGATCACAATGGTCCCTTCTAGCCATAAAATCTATGATTGCTGCAGAAGTGCTTATACCTTTGTTTTGCTTTTTCTTTTAGTTGTGCATGCACCTGTGATGCAGTCATCATGATTCTGTCCCCCAGTCTGTGGTTGATGGGATCAAGCCAGGCTGGAGCCCCAGAAGTAGCAGGATCACGAATTGCTGCATACAACTCTTCAAACTTGATAATGGCTTTGTCCTGTAGTTTAAGCCTGTTACAATGCAGGATTGTGAATGTTTGTTTGCAGTGTTTGCAGTGTTTGCATTCTCTTCAGTGACATAAAAAAAGATAGATCACTTACTGATGGAGAAGCAGACCATACAAATCAAACCTCTCCCTTTCAACACTTCTTTCTTCCACTACCTCAGCTCACATACAAAGGAGAAAGCCATTAAGTGGCAATGACATATATATTAATACTTGCCTTAAATGCACTAACATGTGTTGGTATTAACTCCATTAACATTCAACTAGTGATTAACTGTGGCTGAGCTGGTGGAGCCTGGCGACAGCTCAAAGTTGGCTGGCAAAAGATCGTATTGTAAATGAGTCAAAACTGCAGATGCAGAGCCTATCCAGCCTAGCCCGAGAAGTTCCCACTGCCCTACGATTAAATGCATCACCACCACCAGAGTAAGATTTTATTCTTTGACAGATGTCTTCGAGTTGCAGCGAATCCCCAGGTTGCCAGGCAGCAAGCACATCCCAATTGCCACCCAGCAGCTGTAATCAGCTTGCCCTTCCCTGCACAGGTCACAGGAAGTTCCACATCAAGGGGTTCGACAGTAGCCTCATGGTGCTACATAAACCCAAGAGGAATTCCAGGAAGTGTCCAGGCAACAATGTGGATCACTAGCTAGCTCCAAAGTCTACACTGCATTCTCTGTTCCTGAACTCCTGGTATTGACCTTGGCTTTGACTTGGACCTTGACTACCACTCATACCCCAGAACACCCACACAGACCTGATATCAGGTACTGACCTTTGGCCTGATCCTTGACCGGTCTCTGGCTCTGCCCATCAGCCTGATTACTGCCCCTGATACTGACTCTGAACCCCGGTTGTTGTTCCTGCCTACCTAGCTCCTGCACTAGTCTCGTCTACCTTTGCACAGAATCGTGACCCACTCTTTCTTCTGTACAGTTTGTAACAAGAATGGTCATCTATAGTAGATGTAAGAGAACAGCCTTAATACAAATGCTGTTAGAATACCACGATCTGATCCTTCATGAATAATAACTCCATATGGCTTTAAACCAGGGTGAGGAAAATTCAAGTTGATATGGCTCATCCAAGAATAATTCTGAATGCTGCTGTTGCTTCTGCATCTACACTTACTTTTAAAAAGGAGATATTTACTAGGGACTAGGGGTCTGATCCAACAGCAATAAAAGACTCCCACTGACTTCAGTGGGTGGGGTCTCAAGCACTATGTTCTTCAGTGCCCTATTTACAATATTCAATTAAACTCTTGTAAGACGCCATTTCAATCCAGTCTGCCACTGTACACTTTTAATATGGATTTTTGATCAGTTAAACAAAAATAAGTTGCCTAATTTGATTGGGCATGTCTTAATTTGCCTTTCCCCTGCAAAATACAGACAAGTCATATTGCATTATACTGTGCTTAAATAATGCAAATTTAAATAAGAACATAAGAATGGCCATACTGGGTCAGACCAAAGGTCCATCAAGCCCAGTATCCTGTCCTCTGACAGTGGAAATGGCAGGTGCCCCAAAGGGAATGAACAGACAGGTTATCATCAAGTGATCCATGCCCTGTCACCCAATCCCAGCTTCTGGCAAACAGAGGCTAGGGACACCATTCCTGCCTATCCTAGCTAATAGCCATTGATGGACCTGTCTTCCATGAATCTATCTAGCTCCCTTTTGAACCCGTTATAGTACTGGCCTTCCCAACACTCTCTGGCAAGGAGTTCTTGTGTTTGTTTTAAACCTGCTACCTATTAATTTCATTTGATGGCCCCTTGTTCTTGTATTATGAGAAGAAGTAAATAACACTTCCTTATTTACTTTCTCTATACCACTCATGATTTTATAGACTTCTATCATATCCCCCCTTAGTCACCTCTTTTCCAAGCTGAAAAGTCCCAGTCTTATTAATCTCTCCTCATATGGAAGCCATTCTATACCCCTAATCATTTTTGTTGCCCTTTTCTGAACCTTTTCCAATTCCAATATATCTTTTTTGAGCTGGGGCGACCACATCTGCACACAGTATTTAAGGTGTGGGCGTACCATGGATTTATATAGAGGCAATATGATATTTTCCTGTCTTATTATCTATCTCTTTCTTGATGATTCCCAACATTCTGTTCACTTTTTTGAATGCCACTGCACATTGAGGGGATGATTTCAGAGAACTATCCACAATGACTCCAAGATCTCTTTCTTGAGTGGTAACAGCTAATTTAGACCTCATCATTTTATATGTATTATTAGGATTATGTTTTCCAATGTGCATTACTTTGCATTTATCAACATTAAATTTCATCTGCCATTTTGTTGCCCAGTCACCCAGTTTTGTGAGATCCTTTTGTAGCTCTTCACAGTCTGCCTGGGACTTAACTATCTTGAGTAGTTTTGTCTCATCTGCAAATTTTGACACCTCACTATTTACCCCTTTTTCCAGATCGTTTGTTAATATGTTAAATAGGACTGGGCCCAGTACAGATCCCTGGGGGATACCACTATTTATCTCTCTTCATTCTGAAAACTGACCATTTATTCCTACCCTTTGTTTCCTATCTTTTAACCAGTCACCAATCCATGAGAGAACCTTCCCTCTTATCCCATGACTGCTTATTTTGCTTAACAGCCTTTGATGAGGAACCTTGTCAAAGGCTTTCTGAAAATCTAAATACACTATATCCACTGAATTTCCTTTGTTCACATATTTGTTGACCCCCTCAAAGAATTCTAGTAGATTGGTGAGGCATGATTTCCCTTTACAAAAACCATACTAACTATTTCCCAACAAATTATGTTCATCTATGTGTCTGACAATTTTGTTCTTTATGATAGTTTCAACCAATTTGCCCGGTACTGAAGTGAGGCTTACTGGCCTGTAGTTGCCAGGGTCACCTCCGGAGCCCTTTTTTTAAAAATAGCGTCACATTAGCTATCCTCCTGTCATTTGGTACAGAACCTAATTTAAATGATAGGTTACAGATGACAGTTAGTAGTCCTGCAATTTCACATTTGAGTTCCTTCAGAACTCTTGGGTGAATATCATCAGGTCCTGGAGACTTATTACTGTTTAATTTATCAATTTGTTCCAAAAATATTTTAAAATGGAGCTACTCAAATAATAAAAATGTATTTGTGACTCATTTATACACTGGTTGATAGCAGGGTGGAGGGAATTATTAATCAACCATTAACCCTATTATTTGCTCAGTTCTAATTGCAAGTAAGCCTGAAATTACATCCACAGTGCTATGGGGTATGCACAGCTGTGAATGGATGTAAGACAATGAAATTCACACACAGTGCCTGCAGTCGTTAATATAATACACAAAATTATTTCTCAGTAACTATGAATTTATTTCACTAGTGTAATGCAGGTTATTTGCCTGAGTACAAAGCTATGACTCAGTGAAGGGATTATATTACTGTCATAAATCACTTCAGGGTCCTTAACCAATTTACGAATGGTGCAAAACAAAAGAATAAAATGAGATTTGAAAAGATAACTGTGATGAAGCTCACATAGCGAGGAATAATGTGAAGCAAAAATCATAGGCAGGGGAATTATGGACCAGGCAGTAAAAATATAGAGAAGGCTGTGAAGATTATGGTGTGTAATACATTGAAGAGGAGCCAAAAGTGTGATGAAGTCATTAAAAAGGAAACAGCAACAGTACAATAGCAGGAATAATTCAAGCAAATTATTGAGGAAATTATTCCACTTTACTTCATGCTTGTTAGGCTTCCAGTTGAATTACTGCTCTCAGTCTGGCATATCATTTTTTGTAAAGAAAAATCAATTGAGAAGAGTAAAGAAGATGTTTAGAAAATAAGATCCAGGAGAAGATATTAAGAAAACGTACGGAAAAATCCAACTCAGTTTTCTCACACCCTGAGGGTATTTTAGCTGCCAGAACTCTTAGAACAGTTAGGCAATTGAACAAGATGCCAAAGTTGCTTATAGAATCACCATCACTGGAGGTATTGAAAGCTCAACTTGACACCCATCCATCACAGCTAGTGTAGGAATAATAAAATCCAACTTTCAGGGAGACAGACAGATGACCAACTAGAGGTTCTTTTCAACCCAAAGGACTGTCTGAAGAAGAATAAGTTGCAGGATTGGCATCAGGAAATCTACTTTTAATAAATTTGCTTTTTAAATATAAAACTGCGCTCTCCCTCTTATAGTACAATATTTTCCAGACCATGTGATTTAGAAAGATGCATCTGTGCTTTATAGTCACATCATCGTATTGTTTCCAGTTTGAAAATAATGTACTATGCTGGCAAGTGAAGGATGAATTTCTTGAGTAGGGAACAAAATTGGGAGAGGGGGCTATTGCAGTAAACCAGGTCTGCCATAGTCAAAATGGAAAATTTGCTCATATTTATATTATAGGTTATGAATAGTGGAAGTCTTTTGCTACCTTCTTTATCTTTTATCTGATCACATACCTTAGAAGAAGTTGCTGATACTGCTTGACGCTGATATACCTTCCCAGAAATTTGGTCAGCATCATTAGTAGCACATCTCTATGAATGAATAAAAGTAAGAAATATATGTATAGTGTAATTTGATCCAGTCCACCTCCATACATTGATAAGACACAAAAGTGAGGGGCGGGGGGAAAGAGGGAATTGGGAGTAAATATAAAGTATTTCATGGTACTAAATATATGGGAAAAGACCACTGGCTTTGTTTCATACCTTTAGTGATACACATGCATGTGTCAAAGTTAAGTAAGAGGTCCCAGACAATGCAAATTGCTGTGTGAGACACATACCTATTGACCTGCCCCTTGCCCTCAGGGTCATTGTTTCTGAACAGTTGTCTCATAGTAAAATAGCTGCCAGATCTCATTTTTTCACGCAAAATGTGCTCCAGCTTAAAAAAAAATAAAATTGATACACATTTAATAGCAAATATACAAATAACAGACACCTCTAACATGTACTTTTAATTCATTTTTTTCCTTAAAGTACAAGAAGAGGATGTCAACCGTCACTGACAAGATGATAAGAAATCAAAAAGGAATAAATGTTCCACAATGAAATGATGTATCTTTAATAACCACCCGGGGGTGGGGGGTACTTTCTGTAGAGTCTTGAGCAGGAAAAGAAAAATGTAAATTTTTTTTCTGCTCAGCTATAATATAGGCTTTCAAGTACTGTTGCGCGACTGAATTGAGTGAACCTTATTGGCATTGCCAAGATAAATATGATCTTTGCTTTCTGTGTTATCATTAAATCATGTGTTGCCAAGTTACATTTTGAGAAAACTACAAGCCAAATCCTGAAACCTTTACTCAGCCTGTATTCAGACAAAGTTTCCATTGTCTTCAATGGGAGTTTTCCCCACGAATGACATTGTCATGAGGATGCCATTCAACATAGGTAAATTAATTCTGGAATAATTGTGAAGGAGTGTGTACAATGTTTCAGAGTTTAATTAATACTTATAGAGGATGTTACTAGGTAACTGAATTATACAGACTTATGCTGACTGTTCTTTTCTGTTTGACAGAGACCTTCTAAAAATCATATATTTTTAAAGGACTGGAGCTAGAATTTCCTGTGGATAATATTAAAATTGAACACTGTAGTATAAGTTAAGTTAGGATATGTAGTTATAACCTATCACTGTGCTTGGCTTTCAGGGCAAAAGGAGGAAATGTATGTGTACTTCCTTCATGCCAGTTCACAGGGATTGCTGACTGAAACATTTCTTGGTACCGATATAGCCTATGAGTCAAATTTTATTCTACCCATTTATTTATATGGACTGTATTTGATTAAAGTCATACCTCATCAGCTTCAATCCTGAGCTGTGTCCCAGGCTGAGACAGTAAACTGGTCCTGCTGCTAGCAAAACTTGCTCTGCTTACTGCTGGGTTTCCAGTGTCGGCTCGTTGGCCTGGGTCATTAAAAAAAATAATCAAGTTTCAGAAACTATGAACAATGTATACAGGTAAAGAGAGCTAGTAGATAGGGCACAGAATTCAGTCACAGAGGGACCACCAGATCATCTGGCCGTGGGGAAGTTTAGGCTTGAAATTAGACGAAGGTTTCTGACCGTCAGAGGGGTGAAATATTGGAACAGCCTTCCAAGGGAAACGGTGGGGGCGAAGGACCTGTCTGGCTTTAAGATTAAGCTAGATAAGTTTATGGAGGGAATGGTTTAATGGGATAACATGATTTTAGTCAAATGAACAGCGTGACATCGTTGGTAAATAGTATCAATGGCCAATGAGGGTCTGGCTGGAGAATCTTGCCTACATGCTCGGGGTTCTACTGATCACCATATTTGGGGTCGGGAAGGAATTTTCCTCCAGGGTAGATTGGCAGAGGCCCTGGAGGTTTTTCGCCTTCCTCCGCAGCATGGGGCAGGGATCGCTAGCTGGAGGATTCTCTGCTACTTGAAGTCTCTAAACCACAGGATTTGGGGACTTCAACAGCAGAGTCAAGGGAAAGGGGTTGGGACGGCTTTGTGGCCTGCATCATGCTGGAGGTCAGGCTAGATGATCATAATGGTCCCTTCTGACCTTAAAGTCTATGAGAATCTAGTTGGACCTCCTGTATATCACAAGCCACTAATAGCACCCAGCATCTGCACACTAAACCCAACAACTGAAATTACACCAAAGTATTACAGCCCAAAGGAGACATCATTTGCCACAGGGAGAGAACAGGAGGGACCGAAGTGCACCAGTACCCAAGGTCCCTGCAATGGCAGGGAAATGATTAAGTGAGATATGCCCAGATAATCCTGGCAAGGGACCCGCACCCACACGCTGCAGAGGAAGGTGCAAACCCCTTTCCTGATCCCATATATTGCAATCAATTAGACCCTAAGCATGTGATCAAGAACCATCCAGCCAAGCATCTGAGAGAGAGAATGCTCAGTGCCACCTCAGAGCCCTGGTCCTCCATGTCCAATGTCAGTTCTCCAGCTGTGGCCATCTCCAATGCTTCACAGGAAGGAAATAATACATTGGAGCAGGAGGAGGAATACCTCCTTAGCCCCTGAAGCATGAGCTTTAGGAACATAAGATACAAACTGGAAGCGAGCCCCAGGGCTGTTGAGCCTTGATCCCTACCATCACAAGCAACCCTGACAGACAACTGCATTCATAAATTTGTTCAACTCTCTCATAAAACTAATTAACTTGTGTGCCCCCACAACTCCTATTGGGAGGCTCAGAACCTCACCCTTCTGCTGGTTAGAACAGTTTCCAGCCTGAATTTGTTCATGGCCAGTTTATACCTATTTGTTCTTGTGCCAACACTGTCCTTTAGCTTAAATAGCTTTTCATCCTCCCTAGTATTTATCTCCCTAATGTATTTATAGAGAGCAATTATATCCCATCTTCACCTTCTTTTTGCTAGACTAATCAAGCCAAGCTCTTCCAGTCTCCTGTCATAAGATAGGCCTTTCATTCTCCTGATCATCCTTGTAGCTGTTCTGTACACCTGCTCCAGTTTAAATTCATCTTTCTTGAACAGGGTAACCATAACAGTAGGCACTATTCCAGATGAGGTCTTACAATAGCATTAATGCTTCTTCATCTCCACTGGAAAGGGCAATCAGGAGACCTCGGTTCTAGTCCCTCCTCTGCTACTGGTTTGCCAAGTGGCCTGGGGAAAGTCACTTATTCTCTTGGTCTTATATTCCCTAAGCATATTCTACAGATAATGTGTTGCACTTTGTATTATAGGTATGTTAATAAATAGAATCGTAGATAAAAATGGAGGGCTCGAAAGGACCTTAAAAGGTTATCTAGTCTATCTCCCCATGCTGAGGACAGATCCCTGCAGGACCCCACTAAATACATCTTCCCAGTTTGACAGCTAATCATTGATAACTATGCTTGGAGTATGGTTTTTCAAACAGTTGTGCATCCACTTAATAGTAATTACATCTAGACCACATTTCCCTAGTTTGCTTATGAGAATGTCATGTGGGACATGCCAAAAGCCTTACTAAAATCAAGTTATATCATGTTTATTGTTTTCCCCCCCATCCACTAGGCCAGTAATCCCATCAAAAATGAAAATTAGGTTGCTTTGGCATGATTTGTTCTTTAGGCACCCATTTGAAAAAATCTTGCCGATTGTCTGTGGCTGTATATGGTCCCATCTGGTGCCTTAAAAAAATGTGCAGGTGTATAACTTACTTACAAATATCGATAATAATTTGTGATTGATTTCAATTTGATTGGAGAGGAGGGGAAAAGATGACTTCAGATGCTCAAAGAAATGCCAGTGTGGCCTTTCACAGCAAAGAACAGGGGATATGTCTGTGTGTTCTTGAATTTGAGCCCCAAGTAATAAGATATTGACTTAGAAATATTTAAAGTTTATATCTGAAGATTTTTCATATTTCTTACTGTATCTACATACCTCCCTTTTTGACTAATTTACAGTTTTACCTAAAAACACATGAGAATACACACACACACACACACACACACACACACTAGGCACAATCTTGCAAAGGCAAGAGAAAGCCAAAAGATGACATAATAAATACGTGTTGGGCTTTTCTAATCTCTACAGTCCAAATTCTGGCTTCCCATTGACTTCAGTGGGTGGCATAGGCTGCAAGAGAGGGTAAAATTTGGTTCAATCAGCCTGTAATAGCACATAAGTGAAGTCATACTCTGAGTGCATGCAAATCAGGGTATACATGTGCAAAACGGTGCCTTTGACATTTCAATGTTCTAAATGCAGCATATTGACCAATGTGTTGTGTCAAGTATGACCACCAAAGTGACCAAATCTTGACAGGTTTAGCATAAAGTAAGAATCTAAAAGCATGGGAAAGGCCCGTTTCTAAATATCTTAGTATTGTCTTGCACAGTTCTGTACATTTGTGTCGTTTTGTTGTTGGTTATACACATTATTCTTTTGACATTCCCTTTTGGCTGAACCAGTAATATAAGCAAATGGCTTGACTGAACATGTCCTGTTGTGTTTAAGGATTACCTCACCAAAGCAACTGAATCTAGGCTAATAAAATGGCTTATTTTTTTCAGTACTTCAGTTGTGGCTGAGCTACATGAGACAGGGGAGGAGAGAGCAAGAAAAGAATAAGGAACATGATATAAGAACCTGAAGAGAATTGACCTGAAAAGAGCACTAGTGCTCCACTGCTGCTTCTTTGCCATCCCATTAGGAATACTCCTGTGTTGTGAATAATGTCCCCTGAACCCTATGTGCAGCATTTGAGGACTGTGGCATCACAATAGTTTGTTCCACATCTTCAGGGTTTTTTCATACATTTTTCAAAGTTTCACTTCCCTGTTTCTATTCTTTTGTGACATCTCAAATGTGGTTCGTATTTTGGTGGAAAAACTAACTATAGAAATTGCTAGTCATTGATTTCTTCTGCATCGGCTATTTGAAGAATTAGATTGTCATGAATAGTCTTTATTTTTAGGTTACTCTTGTCCCCAAGTATAATGTACAGTAAAACATTTTATAACATGTAGCTGTTAATAATAAATATTAATAAATAATAATAAAAATCACAAAAAGTGTTCAGATCTAGAACTTTTAATCCATAGACCCTTATAAAGGAGGGGAAGAATCCCTATGTGGTCACCTTTTGGTATTATTATAGTGTATAATGGATTAATAAATAATGGCTATTATAAGCACATTATAGACATGAGTACTAAGTGTTATAGATGGTTATAAGCACATCAGTAGAAGTCATTATAGATGGATACAAGCAGCATTGTACATGAAGAATGTATTCACTTGTTCCGTGGTCCAAAAGGATATGCAGGAGGTCAGACTAGATGATCATGATGGTCCCTTCTGACTGTAAAGTCTATGAATCTGTGAAAAGGAGATGAGTGGCAGACCAGATGAAAGTCTCTGGTGAAGGTAAAAGGAGGGGAAAAAACAGGGGTGACATCATGGTGTTTCTGCGACAGATCACCAAGTCCAAGAGGGAGGTGGAGGAGGTATTTCTAGAACAAATAACAGAAAAATCCAAAACCAGAAAGTAATAGGGAATTTTAGTAGCTACCCAGACATCTGTTGGAAAAGTAATATGGCAAAACAAAAAATATCCAGTTGGTTCTTGGAATGTGTTGGGAACAACTTCTTGTTTCAGAAGATGGAGGAAGTAAGCAGGGGTCAGCCATTTGGGACTTGATTATGACTAACCGTGAGAAATTGTTTGCAAATATACAGGCTGAAGGCAACTTGAGTGAAAGTGATCATGAAATGATAGATTTCATGATGCTAAGGAAAGAAAGGAGTGAAACCAGCAGAATAAGGACAATGGACTTCAAAAAAGCAGACTTTACAAATTCTCTGACTCTGTTAGGTGAGGTCCCATGGGAAGAAAAATCTGAGGGAAAAAGGAGTTCAGGAGAGCTGGCTAAATATGACTCCATCAGGAGCTCTTTAATGACTTGAAAATCAAAAAGGAATCCTACAAAAAGTGGAAACAGACAAATTGCTAATAACAAGAAAGAAACTATAGCACAAGTTTGTATGGAAAAAAATCAGAAAAGCTAAGACACAAAATGAGTTAAAGCTAGCAAGTAGCATAAAAGGCAATAGGAAAAGGTTCTTTAAATGCTTTAGGAGAAAGAGAAAGATGAAGGAAGCTAATAATGGATGACACCAAGGTGTTTGAAGTCTGTTTTACTTTAGTCTCCTTCACTAAAAAAGTTAATGTTGAATATTAACAAGGGGGAAGGATCACAAGCCAGAACAGGGAAAGAATGTGTTAAAAATATTTGGATACGTTAGATGTATTCAAATTTGCAAAACCTGATGAAATTCATCCTAGGGTACTTCCAAGATTCCTTCAGCTCATTCTGTAACTGTTTGCAATTATCTCTGAATACTCATGGAGGATGGGTGAGGACTCAAAGGATTAGCAATGGGCAAACATAGTACCTATCTTTAAAAAGGGGAAAGGAAGACCCAGGGAATTATAGATATGTCAGCCTAACTTAGATATTTGGAAAGGTACTGGAACAAATTATCGAACAATCACTTTGTAAACATGTAGAGGCTAACAGGTTGATAAATAATAACCAACATGGCTTTCTCAAGAACAAATCATGCCAAACCAACCTAAATCTGCCCTCCCCACTACCAGGGACCATAGGGATGTGGTGCCAGCCACTTCCGGGAACCGCGTGGGGCCAGGGCAGGCAGGGAGCCTGTCTTAGCCCTGCTGCGCAGCACTGCCACCCCGGAGCCGCTCCAGGTAAGAGGCTCCAACCCCCTGCCCTGAGCCCCCTGCCACACCCTGCACCCCTCCAGCACCCAACCCCTGCCCTGAGCCCCCTCCCATACTCCGCACCCCTCCCACCACCCCTGCCCTGAGCCCCCGGCTGCACCCCAACCTCCTGCCCTGAGCCCCCCTGCCACACCCTGCACCCCAACCCCCTGCCCTGAGCCCCCTTCCACACTCCGAACCCCTCCTACACCCCAACCACCTTCCCTGACCCCCTGCTGCGCCCCAACCTACTGCCCTGAGCCCCCTGCCGCACCCTGCACCCCAGCCCCCTGCCCTGAGCCCCCT